GGCACGGGCTTTGCACATGTGCGAGGCACTGGCTTCGGGAGAGGGAAAGGGCGCGTGAGTCCCTTCAGAGTTGCAAGGAAGGCAAGATCGTGGGTTTCTCTTTGGTGGAGGGACAGGGGATACCCCCGATCGGGTGCTGCACTTTCCTTCCCTCTCCCACCCGCGCTCGCGCTCCGGCCCGGTGGCGCCGAAGCCCCACTTCAGACCTGCTTCGGGTGCCAGGGATCCAGGCTGCTCGGTGGGAAGGCAGCCGGCAAGTGATGAGCGGCGGCGGTGGCCCCAGAGCCGGGAGTAAGGGAATTTGAAGACACTTCCTTTCCCTCTCACCCGCTGAAGGGGAGGCATTCGCGTTTCCCAAAGGAGAAAGAGCCACAAGAAATCATGAAGTAGAAACTTTGGAAAGCTGCCACTGGAAATGTTGCAGGAAAACCTGGAATCTGTTAGGAGTCTCCTCCCTGTCGGCGGAGGTTTGGGGAGCAGCTGATACAGCCAGGAGGGCTCTTGCAAGGATTCAAGGTAACGGTGCAGGGTTTGGGCGATTTTTCTCTGTCTGCGTTCCATTGTCCTTTCGGTGTGCCCCTTGGTGAGGGGATCCTTTGCCCCCCTACAGCCCTCTTGCCCTGGCTCCTGGCAGCTGCAGGCAGAGGGAGTGAGCCCACAGCTTCGTTTCTGTCTGGTGGAGCCGAGCAGAGGACTTTGGGCTTGAGCTAGAGCTGGCCCTGTTACTGCTCCCTGGTGTCGCACGGCTGTCACACCGCTTGGAAACTCTGCCTGACCTATATTGCTTTTGCCTGGTTTAAGTCCTCAAAGTTAGCGCAACTCCCATTAGCTGCAGAAAATCCAACTGGGCTGCATAATTACGGAAATGACAAGGGCTTTTGCCTACTGAGCCCAGGCTCCACGGAACTGCACGCGGTTCAGTGTTTGGGAAGGACCCACAGAGCTGGGGCTGTGATACATGACACATGTGTACGTCCATCGTCACATGTCCATCGGGTTCTGTGGCATGTCTGTAGAGGTCTGTGTTTTTCTCCCATGAACATGCGGCCAAGAAAAAAAAAATTCTGAAGACTGAACCCAGAGGGTTGCAAGGAGTGTCCCCAGGGAGGTGGCAGAAGCCCATTGATGGAGCGGAGCCTGGCAGCACGCTGCTGTGCTGGAAGCAGGGGCAGGCTGACATTATCTAGCCATCTCTCTCCCTGGTTCTGTGATCATCTGGGTACACAGCCTAATGCTGCCTGCCTGTGTGTGTGTGTGTGTGTGTGTGTGTGTGTGTGTGTGTGTGTGTGCGCGCGCTCACAGCTGTATGCAGGAAGCAGGCTGCCAACACAACCATGCATGGGCAGCTCTCTGCCCAGGCCCCAGTGGCTGGAGCATGCCTTCTTCGTAGGAGTCTGAACTTGCGAGCTGCTGTTCCAGCCCAGAGGAGTTTTCTCCTCACCATATTTATCCAGGCCATGTAGACCTGAGCCAAATATTAACTAACAGCCAAGCTAATGCACTGTAACCTGACTGAACAGCCCCTTCTGTAAAGAAGTGTGTGTGTGCTCTTGCCAGCCCTAGGAGCCAGGTGCCTTGAGCAGGAAGGAATGTTTTGTTCAAAGGATAGCAATTCAAACAGACCATGCTTACAGCTGGGTGATCTGGGCCTTATCCAGCAGGGACAATGATATGTGAGCACAGCCCAAGCAGGAGGTTCAAGCCATACTGCCAGCCAAGTATTTCTGCCTCTGTCATTCCCCAGACATGGGCACGTTGAATGGTCACTCTCTGACCACGCTCTCTAGAATACATGCGATGCCAGCATTACCCAAGCAGCTCAAGTCTTTTACAGAATCCCCTGGGGGGCAGTCTGATGACATCAGGCAACAGCAAAGTGATGCTGGAGTTGGTGTGTGCTCCCTCTTGACTTCACACACGTGTGTGTGTGTGTGTGTGTGTGTGTGTGTTATTTGTGTAAGGCACGACTCTTGGAGTTCCCTCTCAGCCGGAATAAGTTGCTTTGCCGTTTTGGGGGCATGACCAAGCAAAGCTACCACAGTGGTCCTGAAACCTCACCAGTGTCACAGCTGCTGCCTACTCTGGGGAAAGATGCATGCTTTGCTTCTTGAGGAGGGATATGACTTTGGGTAGGTGAGGAGCGTGGATACCGTGCAATGTTTGAGGGAAAGGAAGCAAATGTCAGACGGCGGTCTTCCCTGCTGGAGCGCAGCTGCCTCCAAAGGGTCTGACAGCTGGGCTGCAGCCATGGAGAAGACAGAAGCATCCTTGACTCTGGCTTCTCCCTCCTCATCAGAAATGGGGCCGGCTTTGTCTCCCAGAACGGAGTGATGTGTGCTGCAGTGTGGGCACCAGAAAGAGGGGAGGAAAGAAGGGCTGCGGAAGGAGGAGGGTTCCTGTCCTGCTAGCACTGGGCCCGTCTCAAGGATGGGGAGCATCTTCTCCCTTGGGGCCCTTAAAGATCACCCTCTGGGCGTTCCTTTCTGGCCCCCTATAACAGGTTGTTTACTGAGCAAGGCCAGAGGGCAAAGAAGGTCCCTGCGTCGTCAGCTCCTGGTCCCCTTCCCCAGGCATGGGCTAGCCCCTGGGAAGTATCCCGTCTCATAAAAGAGGTTCCCTCCAGGAAGGCGCTCCCAACTCCCTTCCCAGCTCACAAACAAGAGGCGATCTGGACGGACATCTGAGTGGGCACTTCCTGCTGACTGGGGTGCTGAGTGCCGAGGTTTCCTAGTTAGTGTTTTGTTTTCCCCGTTGCGCAGCGCATTTTTGGCGATTCAACTCTTTCTCTGAAATAAGACCTTGTCTACATTTTATAATGGCATCCTTTCCTTTCCCAAAAGGCTGGGAGCATCTTAGGGAGCTCATCTAATTAATCCTCACATGGCTTATTGTCTCATTTGTCTTTGATTACCCTAAGAAATAGAGCTAGAATGAGTTTAGTCTCTTTCTTGGAAAAGCGAGGGTCGAGAATCTTGGAAAGATTCTTCCTCTGGGTCACACGGCAACGAAGAGGACGCATGGTATGGGGTGTGGGTCTCACCACTGCTAAGCCAACCCCAGGCTCCGAGACTTCTAGGGACTGGTTGAATTTTGATGACTGTCACGTGTTTCAGTTGTCCTGTACTCTACAGGAAGGGGAGGTTGCAGTGACATACAGCTTCCCCTCTGGCAATGACCTAAGGGCGGCGGGGGTTCAAAGTCTTATAAGACCTTGCCTTTGCCCTCAGTGATCTTACCGTCTAATTAGGAGAATTGGCTTCCATCTGGGAAAAGGGAAAATGATGGTGTACATTCCAGACAGCAGTTCAATACAAGAGATGCGTGCGGCTGACCTAATTAATCCGTGATTGATTGGCACAGATAATGAGAGCTATCAGTATTCCAAGGAGGGAGGATTTGCGTTGTGCTATGGAGCACAGGTGGGATTTGTTTGGAGAGGGAGAAATGGGGAAAAGACTCCAGCTGGCGGAGGTGCTAGAGGCAGCACAGTTGAAAGGGCCGGAAACATCAAGCTTGCGTGGTTCTGTGGGCACTTACCCTGTGCCACTTCCCCCCTGGGGCCCTGGAAATACCACACACCTGGCTAAATTATTTGAAGCACATGTTGGCCTAGAGGAAGCTGCCCTTTGACCAGGCAGAGGACCCTGGAACACCGAATGTCTCATCAGGCGTTGACCACCACCAAGCCTCCCACCCACTCTCAAGCCCAGTCCGTATCAGCCGCACATTAAACCAAAATGGAAAGTATTGGGGGAAAGCAGGCAAAATTCAAGCAAGCATGAGAAAATCTTCTCATATTTCAGCATCAGCCTCTCCTAAGAGAGAGCCTTGCTTTTCCTCCAGTTCCTGTCTCCCCACTCAAATGTCCCTGTTGGGGTTTACTCGGAGCCAGCAAAATGCCAAAGCCTTTAGGCATTGCGCACTGAGCCGAGTTTCAATCTTAAGATTCTTGAGCGTGCCCACGTACATCACCTCTTGTCTCCCTTCCTCCTTCCCTTTTAATAAAACATACGCTGTAGCAGTCACAAAGGAGGAGGCCACAAAAAGCAGAAGGGGCGGGGTTGGCCTTGCCTGCAGCTGTACCATGGGGTACTGTGTCTGCTCAGCTGAGCAGCAGAGGGGACAGGCTGTCCGCTAGCCTGGGCAGCACCAAGGAAGGGCCAAGGGCTGCAGGCCACCAGGGGATGGCTGCGGCCGGCCAGCCGCACACCTCTGCTCGAGCAGGGAGCCTGGTTCCCTGGAGAGAAAGTCAGGCAAAGCCTCGGTCCTAGGAGAGAACTGGTGATGCAACCACTCTACTCATCGGCCTCCACTTGGCTTCAGACATCTGTTCACCCTGCATGTCACCGGTTGCTTGGGTGGCCCCATTCCCACATGGAGAAAGTCCCTATCAGGCACTGAGATTGGAATGACTAGCCTGAGGTCACAGCATATGAAATCCCCTAAAACCCTGTCTCCCTGATTCCATAGCCCCAGTAGTTCACTTTGGGACAAGTCCTGAGGGATGTGGACTGTCTCTTGAAAAGCCTCCCGCAGGCCTTGCTGCCACCTTAGTTTCCTGTGTTAAATAGCCCTGTGGTTGGACAGGTACAGATGCCTTTTGTCTTTCTTATTCACAAGTAAACATGGCCATGTTAGGGGGCTCAGGCCCTGCCTGTGTGGTTAGTGACTGGAGGTGAAAGCCTCTTCTCTTTGGGTGTGAAGAGAGAGGCAGCTCAGTTATACTGCAGACTGGGGGCTGCACTGGGCGGGTCTCATCTGACCAATTAGGGTGCAGGTTGATTTCTCTTGAAATCGTCCCCCTGCCATGCAGACTGAAGTCAAGTTGAGTAACATGGTGACAGCATGGGATCTTCCACAGGGAGTTCCTTTTACTGAAGCTCGCGTGAAATGCAAATATTTCTGGGATGCTTGATGGAGCACAGGGAGTGGGCAGTCTGATACCACACAGAACCGAGCGCCAGCCTGCCCTGTGCTACCAATGCGCCAGCCACTGGCCACGTGGGGCCTTTGAGCACTTGTGTACTGTAACATACACACTGAATTTTGAAGAGATACTTAAAAAAAAAAAGTAAACTATCTCATCGGTGGTTTTTAAATGTTGATTACAGGTCAACATGAGAATATCCTGGATATTTTGGGTTAAATAAAATGTATTAGGATGAGTTTCATCCAAATGTTTACTCTTTAATGTGGCTATTAGAAAAGTTAAAACCATAGAAGGGGTTCGCATTATATTTCTTTTGACAGTGCTGGTCTAGGCCCTGCAGAGCAGTGACAGGTAATGTGGACGAAGGGCAGAGGCGGGAGACAGGAGGCGTCAGAACGTAGAAAGAGAGAACATGGAAGAAGTGATGCCAAGCAGCTCGGAGAGCCTCTGGCCTTGTGCTTCGGGGATCTAAAGTCAAGGGGGGCACAAAGAGCTTACGCTGGCTCACATTTGAGGGGGGCCTCATCAACTGGGACTCAGCCCACCCAAGGTGTTTGTGGAGCTTTGCACCTGTCAGTTCACATGC